CCCCAAAACCCCAAAACCCCAAAACCCCAAAACCCCATTTTCTAGACAAATTATTGAAAACGGTAACTTATATTGGATGAACTACATGTTTTTATAAAGTATTTCCTTATCAACTTTTACATTTCTCTCTACATTCGGAGCAGCTCCTCTATACCGATGGATTGAGAGAGGACTTTTCTGTATATTTTTAAAGATATTCAGACCTTTCTCCTTAAGCCTTAATTTCTGCAACTTGGGGGATCTCTTGGCAGATGGGCATTTAATTATTGCAAACTCTCCATTTTTGAGATTTGTAGGGCTGTTTATCCTGTTTTGGAAAAATACTGATATCTTATTTAAGCTATTTTTATTTTTAGCTAGTAGCTTGGATGTACTCAGTTTAGTAGGAGGGTACTTCACTGGAGATACTTGTCTAGGCTTGTCCTGGTCTAAGGTAGCCGAGAGTTGAATAAATGGAAGCTTTTTGAAGCAGCTTCTTGTTTCGAGGCTTTTGAAGTTCCTCTTTTTGAATTCATCTATGAATTTAAGATATTATAAGCTAACATTTTCTCAAATTTTATTCAGTCAGAGCCAGTATCAAAAGAAGCAGCAGGATTTAAGTGGGCTTAGATAAAAATTTATCAATCCAGAAATTGAATCCCCTAGGAACCGATTAATGCGTACCTTTGAATGGAGAATTATTCAAACTCTTATTCAGCATTTGAATTTCTTCTTCAATGTTAGGCAGTCCAATTTTGGAATCTTTGTGAGGGTCTAATCTTGGTTTGCGCTTGGAACTTGGCTTCCTGACAACCTTTTTCGAACTTTTCTTGTATCTAACAGACCTAATATTCATCTTATTTATGTTTAGTCATCTCTTGGTTTAAAGTAGCTTTCCTTTTAAGTTCAGTTTTGATATACCTTCTTACTCTATTTGCTTTATCTTTCATTGGGTCTCCGATGACGTAAAAGTAGAGGTCTCTCCAGAGAGCTTTGCTATCTTTCTCTTCCTTGAGCGTGCTAAGAAAGTCTCCCTTGAAGTGACCGAGGCCTTCTGCTGATTCCTTTAAAGAGTCCATTTCTGGATTAAATATAATTAAAATCTCAGCAGACTTCAGGAAATTTGGGGTTTTGGGGTTTTGGGGTTTTGGGGTTTTGGGG